TTTAGTCTTGAGACTTGTTTTCCAGAAATTAGGGATCTATTGTAGGTATTAGTCTCGAGACCGTTTTGGCAAAAATATTTATTCCGTGTTTTTGGTATTTTAGGAAATTTTCGGGATTTAATTATTAACTATTTTATTTTTCTTTCGGAGCTAGGGTTTGCTTAGACTATATAAACAACTTTTAGGGTTGTATTCCGACATTCATTCATATTATTATTTATTAAACTTTAGGATTTTCTCTATTTTATGTAGGATTTTGAATTGTTGATAGACTTCAGCTTATGCTCTAGGATTTGACGATTATCAATCCTACTTTTCTCGTTTCTTGCTGCGTCAAAAACTTGGTTTGAGATTTATTCTAATTAGTTGACTGTAGGGTAATTCTATGGTACCTTAAACAAAATTGAGGTTGTAATAGTTTATAACACTATTAATGTTGATTATTAAATCAGGAACTAAGGTCTTGTTACAACATAGACGTAATTTATTATTAGTAAAAGTCATGGAATTACTCATTATTGTTATACATTTTTGTGCTCTCTACCTTCATATTTAGTCAGTTAATTGTATTATAATGTGACTTACATTCATTGTTTGAACTATAAGAAAGATATGTTTACTTTATAATCGTCAAAGTGTCCAAAATGTTACTATGTAATGATAAAATTGTTTCAATGTAGCTCACTAGACATTTATTGGATTTGTTTCAATTTGAATTAAAATAACTTTACCATTGTTCTTACAGTTAGGTCATAGCTAATAACACTAACTTACATTGTTCTTACTGTAATCATGTTGATTTTATGCTGTAGCGTCACATTAAATGTTATGCACGAAAGTGAGATTAAATTTGTAGACAAAATTTGCAAACTAAATGATACATTACCAATTAATAGGAATGAGCACGTTTATTAACGGTTAAGTAATAATCTAATCATTAACTTCCATATCATTTAGTTTACAAAATATTATTTATAAATTTAGTTTTCCTTAATATTACCCTTTACAAAAATATTGTTCCACCAATGCATTTCCGTTATATTGGAGGGATTTGGATCCTCTCCTGAGCTAATGGAAAGGATCCTTCTGATCAATTATCATTGACCGTTGGATTTTTATCCAACGGTTACAATCATTATAACTTTAAAAGGACCCTCTTGTTTGTAGCCGTTGAATAAAAATCCAACGATCCATGATGATTGGTCATGATGATCCGCCATTCGCGAGAGGATCCAAATCCATATTGGAGCAGTGCAATTTTACTTTTGGAGTACAAAATTTTGACTGTTGCATCATGACAAATATCATTTAGGTATAATTAAAGTCGCTGATCAGAAGAAGGCTGAACACATAGCCACACTTTTAAACGTCTTCCATTTTCAGTACCTTCTTGTATCTTATTATTTATATAGTTACGGTTAAGTTACTTAAACAACATGAAGAACAGTATATGGACTAGCTATATATCGCTACTGCGTATATCAACAATCGTCAAGTACATATAAACTGAGCATGCATGCAGGACTTTTTCCACCGTCTGATTTGATCATACGGCTGGGATTGAGTGACTTGGGGACTTGTTGCAGACTATTGTACTGCCCAAATAATGAAAATCACAAAGTTAGGCAGTTTTGTGCTAAAACATGGCTGCCAGTCGGGTGTTTTCGAATAATTGACCGAATTTGGATCAGTAACACAACCACCTGAACCGCCGTGTTGTTGTTCCACCCAGATACCAATTCATTTCCTCCGCCGCCGTCTAATATGGTGTCACAGGAAGCGATGTGGGTCGTTGCTTGAGCTCCTCTTTCTCCCTGCGGATGATATTTTCACCGAAGAAAAAATGTTTCTCTGGTTTTCCAGCAGCAAAATCCAATCGATTTACAAGAAAATCATAGCCTGACACGGAAAATTTCCATCAGATCTTTTTGCTGCTTTTTCCATAGAGCCATCATTTTTTCGTGTAACTTTTTCCAACCCAGAAGCACTGTGACTAACAATTTCTTACGTCCCTCTTGTCTCTAAGTTGCACTGCAATTCTCATAAAGTCACATTCTTGGGGCGTGGCAGTTCCTACGTACCTAGCCGCCTTCACGTTTCTCCAGGCCTTTGCATTGATGTAAATGTTTTTCTATTTAGTTTCTCATCTTCTTTTATTTTTCATCCACAACCTTGCAAATTACAGTTATGATGAAAATTGACATATTTGGATCTATAAAATCACATATGCATGTGGTTGTGTGGTTGGAAAAATTCTTAGGTGCAAGCGTTCAACATACATAGTCGTCTAATTGATCACATAAAACATTTATTTTTGTATTTTGGTCTCACTCTAAGTGTTTAGTGCGAATGCAATCTACTATTAGAGAAGGGTTTACACTCTTGGATGTTGTCATGGTATTCTGGATTAATAATATCATGTCGTGAAATTTACATAAACGTGTGTAATAATTTGGATGATTTATTGATGGTGTAAACCCTCAATTTATCACTATATGCCCTAGAATTGTAAGGAAAAGACTCGTGGATATATAAGAAAGCTTAGTAATCATATACTAGCAGATGAGCACACACTTTGTGTGTGTGAACAATTTCATTTTTTTATTTATTAAGGTGTGTGGTTAGTTTTTAAAATTTTAAAAATAGTATGAAATAATGATGATATGACAATTTCTCTTAATAAGTACATATTTTTTCTTAATAGTACATAATTAATGTTTTGTCTTCCTTATGTAAATATTGTGTATTAAAAGTGAGGGTAAAATAGGAATATGATTGTTATTTTTTTTAAAATAAGGGTAAAATAGGAATATGATTGTTATTTTCTCAATACAAAATTACTGTTTTGCCCTCATGTCAATATTATGTATCAAAAGTGAAGTAAAAATAAGAAAAAATGGAGCAAAAAGTTGACAAGAAAGATTCTCTTAATAAAATATAATAGATAAGCAAATTCAAGTCATATGAAACAAAGAATTCTATTTGGCTGAGTTATCTAATTTATTACTTATTCTATTGTTTCATTTCCCGTTTGATATTGTATCATTAATATGAGATAGTAGTATTTTTAAAAGTCTCTCTCCACATATATTACAGATATCCGAACACGAGAATCTCTTGTTTCCGACGGTTAGGAAACTTCGAGGAGCCACCAAGCATGGCCATAGCCATTCTGCGAGGCCAAGGCAATGCCACGGTTTTCGCCTGGCATGTGGGACCCCTCGTGGCTGTGGCCTATGGGTGTGAGGGACCGGGAGAGTCTCAGTAGCTTTAGCTCTTCATTTCTTTCTGCCCTTCTGCCTCCCTAATAGATCTGCGAGAGATCCACCAACACCAAATAATAAATATAGCTTTCACCGAGTTGTGCCATTCATATAATTAGTTGCACACCCCTACTTCCCCGCTAAATGGAGGTAGATTGTCTGCCCTCCTCTTTGGATACTCTTTTTATCTTTTTTTATTTTATGCAGTTATGGTTATACCACGTTAATATTTTATATTAATTTTTTTTATAGAGATTATAAGATAAAAAACAATAGGAATATAAAATGTTGACGTAGCTTAACTGTGACCGCACAAATAGAAGGGGATGAGAAGAGAACCCAAACTGCCTCCAAAACTAAACCCTTCGTCCTCCTAACCCTAGGCAATAGTAACCCCCCCCCCCCCCCCCCCCACGAGAGAGTCTTGGGCGCACGTATGGAATGGAAAATGGTATGAGAAGGGGGTGGGAACAAAACATGGGGTAGTGGTGAGCTTCAAATCAGGAGTGGTGGACCATAGGTGTTTCTATGAATGTGTCGCGTAGGAAACTGGTGATCCGGTTTCCCTACACTAGAATTTCTCCAACCCCACCTCCAAGGGAAAAACAAAAAGAATGCCTCCGAAATTGAAAACTAGGGTAACCATGCGAGGTGCGAGAGCATTATCCTCGTACTTATGAGTCACAACATCTTTGCGATTGGTTCTATGATGACTAAAAATGCTCTATAACAATCTTACAACGTTTATGACTACCTTTGATGAGAAAACATAATAAACATTTTTGAGTTGTAAAAGCAGTTTCTAGAAAAATAATCTCAAACAAGCTCTTAAAGCAAATAACTTCCCCACACCCCACAAAAAAGCGTTGTTGTACACACTGAAAGAGCATATTCCATGAGCCCAATAAGCCTTCCCCAAAGCGTTGTTGTACAGGTAGTATTTTAATCTAGATGCTTGGTTTTTGAATTTTTTAAACCAAACGTCCAGGGCTATTGAGCCCAGGCATTAAAGCGAGGTGAACGAGCACATTTCCCACCAGGCCATTACGTTCAATGGTTCGAACTTCGTAAGCCAATTCCATGCCTTCGAAAAATTAAAACAAAATAACTGAAAAGAAAGAAAACCATTTTGATTGTCTTCCCCAATTGACATTGTGGTGTTATTCAATCAGGAATTTAATTCTTTTAAGTTCTTGACTAAAAAAATTAAAATATTAATTGTACACTATTGTTTCCATTCAAAACCCGAGCAATTATTTGGGCATAGGTGAGATTTTCACTGCTAAGCTGGGGTCTTTACTTAAACTTACAATTGACATGGAGAGTATGGATTTGATAACTTACTCAACAGTCACAGTTCAGTTGGTGTTGCAAGGTACTAGCAATAATCATCCTTTAGGTCCCTTTATTTTGGCTTGTCGAGAATTTCTTTCAGGACGAACAATTTAGCAACCTATAGTCATGATTTAGATTTAGGTAATTTTTTTTTTATACTTCTTGTTCAGCCAGTTTTATTCACAAAGATCGATTAAAAATGTCCTAGTTTAGATTAATTATCGAGTAGATTTATTTAGACTTTTGCTTTTAGCCCCGTTTTTCAAACAAAAGAAACCCGAGCAAACTGATTTGGGGGGAATGCAGATTGGAAACTAAGATAGAAAATAAATAGTTACAATCACATTATTACAAAAAAATAAAAAATAAATAACTTCACAAAAATAAATTAAAGGCAGTAAAAAATAAAACAAAATTGTAAAGAATATAAGCAGAAGGGCATTTATAAGTAATTCTACAGTGAGCTAGAGTCTCTCCCATTTCCCACTATGCACACCTAAATCACTGCCTGCCGGATACAACACAGATTACCAATACAAAAATTTAAACCAGCCACCATAGCTCGTTACAAGGGAAAACTACTTTCATCATGGATTGTTCAGTGTTCGGATCTTTGTCTTAATACGAAACTTCGGTAGTAGCGGAAGTTGTACCGGAAGGAGTAGCGGAAGTAGCACCTTCGGATGGTGCAGGCCTGGCGGTTTCAACCCCTGTGATTGCCAATTTGTTGGAACCGCTAGGCTCGACCGGCTTGAGTTGCACAGTTGCCGACTTCACTCCAAGCACCTCTGTCTTACTTGGTAGCTCCGTGGATGGTACTTTGGCGCTCTCGTTCAACAACTTCGCTATTTCTTTCTCCTTCTGCTTTTTCTCCTTCTTTAGGCGCTTCCGCTCCAAATACTCGGGATTATCTCGGTGGCCCTTATGGCCATCCCGCTTTCGTTTCTTTTCCTTGTCTTTCTTTTTCTCCTTTTCTTTCCCGCGAGGAAGAGAATCCGCCATTCCAGATGAACCACCATTAATATCGTTCCTAGGAACCGAAAGTTCTTGGAGACTTGCATACTTCTGTACTTCTGCATCTCGGTTATCTTGGATAAAGCTAGGTGATGGATCTTCGGGCTGAGGCAGTGCAGAAACTTTGCTAGAGTCGGCAGTGCACTGCAATTCCTTTCCTATATCATCGACATCGCTAGCAAGTTTTGCGCTACCAATGCTGGCAGTCATCCGGGATCCAAGATCATGCCAAGAGTTAACTTCCTCAAGATTTTGATTGCTAAGGCTCACCTCTGCAAAGTTTTTGTGCGGAGCATCCACAGATACTGAACTGCTGGCGCCACGATCAGTTTCAAGATGCCCACCTTGCGACCTCTCAACAGTTTGATTATCACCTTCTGCTCTACTAGTAGTAGCAGAACTTTTGACCCTGATCTTAACCGTCAGCTTCCGTCTATGGCTGTTAGAAACGGTATCTGCGTCCTTGAAAGGTTCCAGAACAGCCAAGCTATCCTTGATAGGTTCTGAAACCGTTAAGCCATCAAAACTACCAATCGGAGGTTCTGGAGCACCAACACCACCAATGGAAGGTTCTTTAGCGACCAAACTGCCACCAGAAGGTTCTGGATCACCCAAACCACCACCAGGAGGTTCTGGAGCACCAAAACCATCAGTTGTAGGTTCTAGAGCACCCAAATCATCCTTGGAAGCAGCTGGAAGGACAAACCCGTCCCTGGAAGTTTCTGGATCTGGAATAGAAAACGCATCTGTAAAAATTTCTGGAGCAGCGAAAACATCTCTGGAAGTTTCAGGAGCAGTTAAATCATCATGTGAATGGTTTGGAGCTTCGGAAGGTGGTTCCACATATTTACTTTCTGGAATGAAAGCAGCAAAGATGTTTTTCTGCTCTTGGAAGCTTTCCGCATCACCTAAATGAAATGGTTTATGATCTCTTGGCACTCCATATAGTGTTGGCGGCCTGAAAATGAGTCTCGGTTCAGTTACAATTAATAGAAAATATTGAAAAACGTCAAGCTTTAACGAAGAACAAATGAACTCCATACTTAGCAAAAGAGAAAAACCCAGGTAATGTTTTTCATCTTGAAAAGGAATCATAATCAAGTGAAAATAAATACCTTCCAGCAAGGATTTGAAGGATGCAGAATAAGTGATGACGAAGAAAGATATTATTAAAAGCCATCTGGCCTTCAAGTAGACGAAGCAAAGCCACAAGAGTTTCGCTCCTGATGTTGTCAGTAAGATCAGATCCACCTCTAATCTGGCATAACCTCATAGCATGCACGGCCAGCTTCACCTGCCCTGCAATCAAGGAATATATACAATAACAAAAATGCACACTTTTAATGAAACAATGAGATTTCCAACATTCACGAGGAAAGTAGTGACAAGAACCTCGGAAGGACGTCTCTTCATCTAAATATTTGATAAACAGTTGCAAAGCTGCATCAATGCCTTTACAATGGAATTCAAGATCAAGCAGTGCTCTGCTTGCTTCAACCCGAACTTGCCATACTGCCTTGATATCCCGAAAAGGTTTCACAAGTTCAAACACGCGATCCTGTAGCAAGTCAAAGAGCTGGATAAAGTTGCCAACACTACATGAAAATACAATATGTTTAAAAAGAAAAGCATAGGTGAGAAATTACTCACCATAGGAACAAATCCCAACAGTTTTAGGGCAATCTGTGTCAAGGCCCTAATACAACTGACCGACAAGATACCATTGTAGCTAGGCATCAACCTGGAACATGCCAGTTCCAGACACAATCAATTATATGTATTACTGGATATAAACCATTGAATTCAGTATGATATGAGTTAACACACCTGTCAAATTGCAAGAGGCGATCAATGCGCTTCAGAAGAGACGATAAAAGGAGAATACTCTGAAACGGAGTAAAGGGAACACATGATTATAAACTTCATATTTGTCAATTTTGGGATTATCCAATGTGATAACCCACGTGAATCATTGGATGACATGTATTTTTTCAGAGGTTAGGCCCTTAAGAGTCCGGGGTAACAACAGTATCATGTAAAAGCAATTCCAAAATGGACTACACCTAAGACAGAAGTGCACATTACATTATCTAATCCTATGTACTTCTAAAGTAAACCAACAGAGTGTTCATCATAGCCAAAGACAGACATGTAAGCCTCAACAGAACCGCTGAGCATTATCATGTAAGACAAACCTGTTGCCCAAATTCAAGTTCTCCAACAGACTCGATTAATGCAGCAAGCCAGAAGACATCAGAGTAAGGGTTCCCATTGTTGTCATTGTACTGTCAGACAATTAAAGACAAAACATTAAGAACTGATTTTCAGAGTAAGGCACTTGGGGGGAAGTTCAAAATTCAAATAATACTAATATACAAAATCCAGATTGTTTACTGTATTTTACCGTAAGACAACGGCCATACATAGCAAGACATAATAGTATTGCTGAATTATTTCTCGTGTTCTCAAGTTTAGAACGTCTAATCAAGGCCAACTGAAAAATATTGTTCTTATTGTAACATTGTCACCTTAATTTTTTGGGAGTTTTAACGAAACACTCTCAGTACTGTTCACTTTTAACGAAAAACCACATTTTTACCTTTTTCTGGTACTATTCACTACACCTTTATTTGTCCTTTTTCATTAAAACTAGAGTTTTTTTGGACTTTTCGTTAGTTTTCCTTAATTTTTTCAATTGATGCTTTATGAGAAATGTCCACGACAATACTACCTTCAAAAGTTGTAAAACAAACTCTACAGCCTCTCTTGGACTTTTCTTGTCAGCAGCTCTGACCATAGCAATAGCATGAGGAATGGCCTGTAAGTTATAGAAACAACAATATAATATACAGATGGTCCGTGACCAATGAAATACATTACCATCAATAAAGATGATGATGATAATGATATAAATAGCATGATACAATCATAGATTTAACTACGAAACACATAAAAGACACTAGTCGAATGTGTTCATGATAGCTAATCCAGAACTCAGATGCATATGTTATCACTATGCCAATGTCAGGAGACTGAGATCCAAAACACCAAAACAAGACCGTACCGTCTACAGGTGGGAGTAAAGGTCGAAGTTATGCATCATAAAGGCACATAAAATGAAATTGCTCCACAGGTTTGTGTTAAGTAAAGGAAAGCTACCAACAGAAGCATTTTATTGTAACTTCTTTGAAACTGTTGATACGTAAGTGTGAATTACGCATGACAAACAACTTATTACTTATCCTACCTCATTTCATTACCTCAAGAACAAAGTACTCAGAAATGTCATGGAAGTCATTTGGCCTGGCAATATTAACAAGAAAAATCTTTGTTAACTGGTATCGTTAAAGTAAGCTCTCAACCACTTGGAGTTCAAACACACATGTACAGAACGTACTTGGGGAGTCCGATGTTTGCATCAAACCTTCGGCTTTTATAAAATTTCACTAAATGGAGTAGACCAGCCCAATCAGTATCCTGCAAGACAATCACATCATTCTGAACATGCCAATGTAAAAGTTGAAGTCTCAAGGCACAGATATATACACTAAATAAGAATTGCAATGCAAATGTAAAAGCTACTGTTGGAGCTAAGACTAACAAAACGACCAATTCAATGAATCAATTTCAATAGTAGAAATTGTCACTTCAGTTGGGTAAGATACTAAAGAACCACCCCAATACCCTTACATATGTTATATATACATATTTTTTTTTTTATGAGCTAATGCCCTTGCATACGGTTAAATTGTTAAGGGAAGCTGATTATTATAACCAAATTTGCAATAAACTAGAAGTTCAAGTAGAAGCAATGGCTAATACAAAAAACATTAAAACTATTCTAGATTACTAAGATCTGAAATTGTTATATCACATCACTAAAAAGAATCAGATAATGTTCTGTTAGGAACTAAAATAAAATAAAGTGGGCGGTGCTATCCACATAGCCCTTTTTACCTTTCAGACACTGTTAATTTCTGTCCTTTGATCCTCTTCAATTCATTCGATCCGACGGTTGGAAATTGAGAGAGGTGTGGAAGGTAAAAATGGGTGCGTGGATAGCACCACCCAATAAAGTAACTCAAATCAATCATAAATATTTGTAAATATGTTTAGAACACCAGATACAAATATCCAAAGGTTAAGAATTAGATAATTTGCATGAACCAATTTCAATCTTTTAACGATGAAAAACACAACTCAAGTGAACAATGGATTCCAAGGCAAATAACAATAATTTACCTCAGATGCTGTATTAGCCAAAGCAAACGCGGCCTCAATTCGAACTCTCCAGAAGGCCTTGAAATCATAGAAAAATACTTCAGAAACTTACTCCTTGAGATACATAATTCCACACAATATAACACTGAAAGTGGCTAAAACCTTGGAGTCAATGAGGAAATTATTCAGAGCGTTAACAACAGAAAAGGAAAGCTGTGGTAGAGACTCCAGTGTTGCAATTGCTTGTGCCTGTGCAACGACATCTTTGTCCTTCTCCAACTGATTAATCTGATATGGCACACCAATACTAAAAATAGTCAAGGACCAATAGACTTATCTAACCCACATATTAAAAACTCCAAGAAAGCATATAGAATAACCATAATCCCATTCTTACCCACATCTGTACAGGTTGATTGAAATGAATTTCAGCAAGATATTCAATTTCCGGGTCTGCCCTCATCCACAACAATGGCGACTCCATACTGCCAAAATAAGAATTTCAACAAGCTGAAAATACAAAATAAATATTCATACAATAAGAAAACACAAAATAAATATTCATCTAATAATATTATACCTAGAACGCATGTCTAGAGCTGGTGTAGCATCCCCATTATCATCAGCCCCATCTAGTTTTGAACTCTTTTTAGGCTTCTGAAAGCGTCTAGCAGCAAGCTTTGAATGGCATTGTATTTCCAGCAGCTGCCATGTTTCTCCAGCCATTGGCAGAACTGGATGATCAAACGTACCATCAAGTTCGTGAGCCCTGATGCTCATCATTCCAGGCCATCCATTGTCAATGTCTCGCTTTTCAGGCTCTGGATTCGCATTAACTGCTGAAGCAATTGAATCTGATCCGCCTGTGCATCCACGTAACACTGCCAATTCAACCATATTCTTCCTCTTGTTATAGGAGAAGCCCATCCTTTCAATTTAAGTGTCAATAAATGAAGAGCATATTAGTTACTGAACCGTTAAAAAGATCCAGCATGAAACAAGAAGAGTAGTGTGCAGCTCATGCATACCTCAGCAGTGGACAACCACACAATTCCACCCAGCGAGGAAAAAATTCTTTAAGAAATGGACGCTCAAGATTGCCAACCTTATTAGCAAAATGCCTAAACTGCACCACAATTTATGGTATAACTACTAGAGAAAAATTAATGAATAATAAACTGAAATTACAGCAGTCTATACTTCTTATCCAGCAATATGTCAAAAGATGTTCATACCTCCTTCGTACTAAGGGATCTTAAAGAACGGATCTTATCTGGAGCCCTAATAACTATTGCCTGCAAAATCTGTAATAAAACATATCGTATCAGCTGGCAAGAAATAACTACGATCTATAATTCACATACTCAAAATTCTATCAAAGCAATTCCCTTCCTCCAGTTCCCATCATTCCTTCAAATCACATCATGTACAAGGCTCATTGAGATTTTTTTTTTTTTTTTTTCATATTTCCTAAACAGAAATTACTTGGAATCAGGCATGTAGGCCAGTTATACTCATATGCATACATGTTTGATACCTCACACTATATTCATGTTTTGGGATTACAGGAAGAAACCAAAAAGGGCATGGTTATGTGGTCATGCCTTGACCAAAGTAGTAAAAAAAACTTCAATATCCCCATAGAAGATCTCAAGGGCCTGTTTGATAACCATTTTGGTTGTTAATTTTTAATTTTCATTCATTCATTCTTTGTTTCATCCCCACCCTCCCACAACACTTTTTCATCCCTCCTTTCCCCCATATACTTTCCCTATTTCTCAAGCACAAAAAGTGATAAGTAAAAACGAAATGGCAACAAATCGGGTTCCTAAACAGACCCATATAATGTAATATCCAAAAAGCACAAATGCTTGCAGCCCAAATGATAAAGGCCGTGACTAGCCTCTAATTGATAATACTTGGCAATGTTAGGTTCAATGTACAGGGTGAGTGAAAGCATGGTGAAACAGAAGAAACCAGTGAGTTCCTAGAATACTTACTTTACGAAAAGACTCTGGTCCCATCTGCTTTTCCAGCATTTGAAGGATTGCCACCTTTTAAGATGTTCATGCAGTCAATAGGTGAAGATGGAGAAAAAAAAAATGAACATACTGATACTCCATGGTAATGAACAAACAATTTCAACATTACTCACAGATTTCCATGACCTAATTTTGCTGTATATTCCAATGCATTGAGTTCCATACAAATCCTTACAAGAAGCAGCAGAACTTAAAGCGGTTGCGCCACTATCATCTGCTTTGCAAACAGCACAATTTGCCTGCAACTCCATAAAGAGAAAAATATGTCAACATGAATTTTAGAAAGAAGAAACTGTAACTCATGTAGCTTTACTTTCTTTTGTCCAAGGAAAGACCAAGACAGAACAAACCAGAAGTAGGGGAGTGAAAGATTAATATGAAATAGGACAGATACTTCTTGGGAGACCAGAAATCATTGAAAAATGAAAAACTCGATACAAGCCAAAAGGACAAGGGTTGCAATAATCGGCTAAGGTATCAACTTCCCTACATCAATCATGACTTCATCTATTAAATTCACCTTGTATCTCCGGTAGCGGGCTTCATTATTTCCCAAATGTTTTTTGATAAAAAAATCTGTCAAAAACCCAGCAAGACCGTCCAGCAGCCACTCTGACAATATGAGTAAGCAACCATATTAGAGCCAATGGAATTTCTCAAAACTTATCAAAACAATTCGGTACCAATGATCTAAATACCAAATAGTAGTACAAACCATAACACTCTACTAGCTTACCATCATTAGGTGCCTCGGGAGTGATATAGACACCAAACCATTGTCTTGCAAGAGCAAACGCAAGTTTAATCCTTGTGTCAATGGTCTGTTGTGAAAAGTTATACACACATCAGCTTAATAGAAAACATGAGATGAAAAAGAGAAATGTACAAGACATGCACTAGTTTGCAGCTCATGCCAAAACTGAAATGGAAAATGCGTGTTCATTATATCATGAATATTACAATTACTCTAGAAGCATAATAGAGGACAAATGAAGTCCTCAAGAGGACTAGCTTTTTTCAATTAGTGGCAAACACAAAATAAATGCTCAAATTTGTTTTCATGTCAAAACTACGATGAAGAAGCTTATGAATTAAAATCATTAATATGCTATACCGCCAATAAAAAAACTAATTATTGAATGTGAGACGGCTTTATTTTTTGGGTTACATTGAAATCGAACCCTGGAACTATCATAATCCTAATCCATTACCCCATCCTCTCTCACCACCTGGGCCAACCACAAAGATAAGATTTTAAATATGCAGTGGTCAGGGTATCTGACCGTAGTGGTAAACAGCAAAACTTTCCATTTTTCAGGTTTCTATTTAAGTATTAAATCGTTAATACACCTTGCTTAAGCTAGCTTTATGTTGTTTATTCACTGCCTACTACATTTATCAAACCTCCACAATGGATTTTACACCTACATGCAGATCTTGCTTAACTTTCATAAATGTGAAATAAAATCATCATATGAATGTGACTCATAGAAAATATGTGGAATAACCAAACCTGATCAATGATCTTTTCATCAAATAAAACTTGAGAACTAAAAACGCTCATGGATGCCCCCGAACTTAATGATGATACTGCCATCTCGGGCTCAATAAAAACTTGCTTGTATGACCCAAAAGGAAATTCTATCGCAAGGTAATCCTTATAACAGCTGCAGAGTTAAAACATAATGGTAAGAAAATGATGTATGATGTAAAACATGAACGACACACATTACGAAACCAAACAAGGACATATGACTAGAAGACAAACCTAAATGCACTATGGAAAAACTCTACAGTATTCCGAAGCTTCGACAGATTAATGGGCAAGCACATGTGAGATATTAGACCAAACTGCTGATCGGGAAGGATTTCAAAAGGCGCAACCACCAAAGATATCCACCGAGCGCTAACTGGAACATCTAATCTATAAACATATGTTTTGCGAGGAGGATCATCCTTGCTCAAAACCTGCAATGAAGTCGTTATGCATAGTTGCAACATCAACACGGAAAACACAGTATGATACAATTATACTAGATGTGAACAATGACTGGCCAAATGCCCTCATGTAGAATGTTAGTGAGTTATTTGCACATATAGATGGCAACAACAACTTAAGTGACAAACTTTGAAGGAATATCCTAGATATGATTATCCAATTACATTTACAATTGCTGCAGGCCATATCTCGATTATGACTTTATCTCACACTACTACTGTCTATAGATACTCAAGATGATGCCACAACGCTTGGCTCCATAACAATAGTTCTATTCCACCATATATACATAGAAAACCTTGATTCTGAAATTGGAAACTTAAGTCAAATGGTAATACGAAAATAAACTTCTACAGGCATTCAACAAGGCTGCAGAAATTGAATTTCGTCTCAATATCTAGGCCCGTGCATGAGGATGCACATGGCAACTGGTCTTCAATAGACTAAGGGCTAGCTCTCTATAAAGATCCACGTCACATGCCGGCATAAGAAGAAAAGAACATTGTCGTGTACAGACGATACTAGTAAACAGGTGGAATATGATTGTCTCATAGACACAACCCCCCCACCCCAAAAAGAAGGATTTTGTGAATATTGAACTTAAAATTGGCAAAATTCTGTCTCAATACAGAAGCATGGTGACACCTCCACTAGTTTATTTTTTTTTCTTGGTTAAATGACTTCCATTAGCTAATTGTCATTCTATTATATGCATAATAAGATGAATGCTGGCGAAGAGACAAAAACTACATATTGGTTTACAATTTGTCAAGTCATTAGAAAGGTACCTATGACCATGTAATAACAACTGTAACGGTTCTACAAATATTTTAAATGCTGACTAGATAAGAAAACTAGCAAGATTGTTGAGGTGAAGGAACAGAAAACAGATTCAATCGCCTATGTAATGCCTTTTTTTCCCAAGGGAAGCGTAGTTTCAGGTATCCAGGATGTACACACACCTTATTGGCTTTCAACAAATTACTATTGGTGTCTCTAGCATACTTGGACTTCATCAGCCTAGAAACCTGGCCAGTTGCATGGTTGCATATAAATGGGGATTTACAGAATTAAAGAAATTACTTCCACAATAAGTAATTAAATGTACTTTTTTTTTGTCTCCACTTGAAAGCTTGACTTTTATGCTGTATATTGCCCTTAACAATAGAGATTGTCCCATCACCCAAGTTAAAGGTCCACTCAACAGAGCGTCGATCCAGTAGATGCCAGCGGTGAGCGTGGATCGAACACGCGACCTCAGATCTTCAGTCTGACGCTCTCCCAACTGAGCTATCCCCGCAAATAGTGCACCAACCCGGAATCGAACCCCGGTTTATATCATGGCAAGGCATTAATCATACAAAGTGATAAAAACTTACTGAAAAACTATTTCTTTTTGTGACAAATTTCCTTACTTTTCTAAGAGAAGTATTTACATCAAACAATATTTTTCTATTGTTTGCTAACTACTGTTTTACGGAATAAAAACCACAGAATATGCCTATTAATTTCAGATTTTATTCTGCTATAAGTTGCACAATTACATTTTACACTGGTTAATGGACTCATCACAGGCATGTGCACTTCTGTCATGAAAAATACACAATATGTTGGCACTTAAACATCAATAGACGTGTTCTATCATTGATCTCACCTGGTATAGTAAGTTTCCGGTGCTAACAGCCACAAGATTTTGTGCAACAGTGAACTCCAGATCATAGCTGAACATGTAATAGTCATTATGAATATGCCGAGTGTTATCAATAATATGCAAAACTACCAAAAGAAAAGCACAGTTAGACAATTAGTACCAGCAACTTTGTGAATTGTCATCTATACAAGGGAACCAGCACCGTGCACGCCGTATCTGGTTATCAGTATGTAGAATGGCATCATGAAAATAAACTCCTGTCTCTGCTTTTTCTACCCAATAATCAACACGAACCAACCTCACATTCTGCACACCAACACCAAACAACATGAGAAGCCATAGACAAGAGAAACGCAGTCACAACACATTATGCCAATTGAGCCCTCCACAAAATGATCAGTTCTGATACTGATCATTTCCTAATAACTTCTGGCATAAAATCAACATTCATCTTCTATTAAGCTATGAACACATGCCATAAAAATTCTAGATAGGCGCAGGGAAACAAAAATCTGAAACATACACAAGTAATTCTTTTTACTTCTTTTTTAGTCAATATGTACAAGTATAAATGCTTAAATGTGTAAGCCGATATGGGCATACATAATGACCCTGGCAGCTAAATTTCGATACAAAACACGAAATGTAATGCTATTTTATAACCCTTTACATTTATCAACCTGAACTCTAAAAACCCACCACCAAAGTTCTAGACAAGCGCAGGGCAACAAAAATTTGAACCATACGCAAGTAATTCTTTTTCTTCTTTTTCAGTCAATATGTATACGTATAAATACTTAAAACGTGTAATTCCATATGCGCATGCCCTACCAGCTAAATTTGATACAAAACGCGAAAATTAATGCCATCCTAGAAATTTACATTGATCAATCCTGGTGTTCGAAAACCCAACACAAAATTTCAACTCACAAAACCACAACTCCAAAAATAAACCATAACCTGCTTGGCTTCTCCAGAAGACTGCTGCACTTCATTATCCCCAAGCAGTTGCTCCTGCGGTTCGCTTCCGGCCTTGAAAGCCTTACAGCAATTGATCAGTAAATTCGGGACCAGCTCTCTCTCAAGAGCCGATATATATGTTGACCCTGCCGCATCGGCAGCAGAGCTCGGCGATGTCACCCAGCTCCATCTCCTCTCGCTCTCCGCATCCTTATGATTACTCTGCGGGTAGTATTCGAACTCGGTCTGCTCACCGTCGACTGAAACACTCTCAATCCCCAAATTCTCTGCGTGTAACCCTACAATCCCAATTTCTGGGACCACAATCTTCAACTCAGTGTACCTACAATCCCATCAAAATTAAACAAAATCAAGCAACATAAACACTAACCATGCAGAATCATGGCTCCCAAAGCTGCTTATCTACGATCCAATTTTTACCAAAAACAAAACCCAATTCACAATTTCCCCGAATCTCAAAACCCAATTCGAATTTTCCCAAAACCCATAGAGATTCGCCACGAAATCAGTGAACATGCAACAGTGTATTCTTCCTTTTGTGTGTGTTAATGCAGGACAGAGACGAACCCATAAATGCGACGCTTATCGACGTCGATGGAGAGGCAGAGCTTCTGGTGACGGACGACGGGCCCGGAGTTTTCAGGCTTGGCGTCTTCGTTCTTGGGCTTTCGGGGCTTCGCCATGGATGTACGGAATCCCAGAGAGAGAAAGCTAGAGAGAGAAGGATCGAACAAGCTCAGTAGCTGTCTATCTTTTTATCCCAGAAAAAATAAAATGAGGGTTTTATTTTATAGACGCACTCACGGGCTTCCCTCTGGCTAAGGAGGACGACAACTGCGTTATGATTCTCGCTTGACCGTACACTTGTTGATGATGCTGATCTAACGGCTGATAAAAGATCTTTGCTGAAATCAAAGTGCGGTGCAGATTGTATGTGTGGGACCCTTGGGGGCGACAAACCTATTTTTTTGTTTTTGATCCCCCTTCCTTCCTTAACAAAACAAAGGAAGCTACGAGAAAAATTCTTGTTACTGTTTATTTTAATGAAAAATTATTTTTTTATATTAAAAAATTAATCATGGTATTATTTATAATGAAAAACTCTTACTATTATTTACCTTAATGAAAACTATATTTTTATATTAAAAAATTAATCCTGATGCATTTATTTTTCTTTTATTTTATCTTTTTCGTTAAAACTCGAATTTTTGAACAATTTTTATTAATTTTACTTTTAACAAAATGCATTGCGTCACATCAACAATCGCAAGAAAGTCAAATTTGTAATGGAGGCCTACAAAGTTTGGAAATTATGAAATGCCCCATGTATTTCATCTTATATGCTTAACTTACCACTTACGACTTGAATTACTTTGAAATCTTTCTTCTAAATCTAACAAGATTTTGGTCGTGTAAGAGGCTGGTAAAGTTCATAATCCAAAGGTAGGGTGCTCATTAAAAGAAGGCATCGCCCAACAAGTAGTAGATTTTGATGAAATCTTATTTTGACGCTGAAAAATCATAAATCTAAATAAAATTTCATTGATAAATACATAAGAGTTCATGCTAACGCAATACAACATACATATTGTAAAAAAGAATATAATTTATTGGCCAACAAAACAAACATTTTACTACAATCAACGTGGAAAGATGTTTCAAATCGATTCTCTTAATAGTTAATACAGAATTTACAAAGTAAATAAACAAAATTCGTGGCGTGGATGTGGGTTTTATTATAATAGTTCAGAAACCTTCCAACCCCATTCGTGAATCGCATATTCTCAACGGCCTTTTAGGCAAATTACTCAACTGCATAAGGCATACGGCATTACCATAGGTCCCTCCATAACCTACCAGAGAGCCACAGATCTCTCTCTCTCTCTCTCTCTCTCTCTCTCGCAGTAGCCCAACTGAACCCGCGCACGCAGCAGTGAGAGAGAGAAATTATTCAAAAATCAGAAGAAATTCGCCGGAAATTGATTCGTAGACGATGAGCATCGAGCCGTTCAACAAGTAGTCGTTCTTGAACTCCCCTAGGGTTTCTGTATTAAATCGATCAATTTGCGCTCTCATTTAAAACTGCAGAAATTTTAATGTCGTATTTGATTATCTTCTTGGTGATTTCAATCGGAATTCAGGCTGGTGAAGCTTACTGCGAGGGCGTTTTACGATGACATACCGACGAAAGGGGAGAATCAGCCCAAGACCGGACGGAGCGATAATCGGGGGATTGCGGTGGTGGTGCTCGATGCTCTATCGAGGTTTGTGAAGTTAATTGTATTGTTTTTTGGATTAAGGTAGCGTTTTTAGGTTGAAAGATGAAAATTTTAAGTTGATTGAAACCCGAAATCGTAGAAATGTGGAGTGAGAGAGTATTGGTAACTACGATTACTGACTGAGTAATTGGAGAGGGAAAATGTGAATTAGGGTTGGTGAAGTGAGCTATGAGCAACTATTTTGGTTGAATTTCGTGTGTGAGTTTGATTACCCAAGTGCTTCCTTGAAAAGCACTCGCACATGTTTGGTGTTTCCTGCTTTCCAGAAAGTGCTTCTATGACCCATAAGCATTTTAAGTTTTCCTGTCAAACCTAGGCATATTTGGGATTGCTTCTGGAAGCACTAACAATACATGTTTACAACCAAAAGCACTTCTCACTACGTTTGGCAGAAAAATTTGAAAGCCCCTTTGGATCGTAGAAGTGATTTTCTAGGAAGCTCTTGAATTTTTGGACTTATGAGCAAAAGCACTTATAAGCATAAGTGCTTCCTACAAAAGCAGTCCCAAATGAATTCGTAGTGAGAAGCGCTTTTGGTTATCTAAAAACACGTTAATTATTCCAGTCCACAAGCAATCCCAAATGGGCCCTACAAAACTTAGCATAGACATTGCTATGAGGGTTTTTATTGTGCATTACATGGGTGATTCCGTGTGTGTGTGTGTGTGTGTGTTTGAGGGTGAAGGTGCACAAGCTTTTATAATTTGTCATTTGTTTGCTTGTGAGTAATATTTAGATGTTTTGATGCCAGACGACAATGGGTAAGGGAAGAAGATTTGGCAAAGGACTTGAAACTGCACTCGAAGCAACTTCGTCGTACTTTGCGATTTTTTGAGGAGGAAAAACTGGTCACCAGAGATCATAGGAGAGAGGTCATTCGTTTGATCTTAGTTATTGTGTATTATTCAATGCTTTTTGGTTACCAGTTGGTTTGGTCCATCTGATGAGTTTTACGTATTATTCTGATTCATTTTGTGAATATTAATATTCAAAAACAGAGAGAAGTTTCTACATGCTTGAAGGGTTAAACCAAGAAGAATATTAACAATGTCGGTATCTGTATTTTTAGGTATCTTTCACTTGTAAGTGATCCTAGTGCTCAATCTAGTTTGTACCATTAGTCATTTCAAATAGAAATTGAGTAAACCAAGATTTCCTAAAGCAATGCTGGAGCTTTGAGGCGCCTCGGTCCAAATTGTCTAATGGCTTTACGGATTTGCCAATTATAAGAGAATGGTCTTAGGCTCTTAGCTGTTACTTCACTTTATCCCCAACCCTAAGATAAAAGCACAAAGGGGGATCCAAGTCCAACCTTTGTGTAAACCAAGATTTTTATCAATGTCGGTATCTGTATTTTTAGGTATCTTTCACTTGTAAGTGATCCTAGTGCTCAATCTAGTTTGTACCATTAGTCATTTCAAATAGAAATTGAGTAAACCAAGATTTCCTAAAGCAATGCTGGAGCTTTGAGGCCCCTCGGTCCAAATTGTCTAATGGCTTTACGGGTTTGCCAATTATAAGAGAATGGTCTTAGGCTCTTAGCTGTTACTTCACTTTATCCCCAACCCTAAGATAAAAGCACAAAGGGGGATCCAAGTCCAACCTTTGTGTAAACCAAGATTTTTATCATTGTCGGTATCTGTATTTTTAGGTATCTTTCACTTGTAAGTGATCCTAGTGCTCAATCTAGTTTGTACCATTAGTCATTTCAAATAGAAATTGAGTAAACCAGGATTTCCTAAAGCAATGCTGGAGCTTTGAGGCCCCTCGGTCCAAATTGTCTAATGGCTTTACGGGTTTGCCAATTATAAGAGAATGGTCTTAGGCTCTTAGCTGTTACTTCACTTTATCCCCAACCCTAAGATAAAAGCACAAAGGGAAATCCAAGTCCAACCCATGTGACTTGGACAGTAACCAGATAAACTCTGATATGACACCTCTTAAAAGATGAGGTACAATAGAAAGAGATAAACACCAGTATGTGCGCGTGTGTGTTCAAGAGAATTTATTTTCTCAAATTCCAGAAGCTAACAAGAAAGGCCCTGGTATAAATGTGTCAAAAGAGAAATAGTTGTATAGTTTTCCTGAAAGAACTAGATTGCATTTGATTAACCTGAGGCAGGTCAAGCTGATGTACCAGGTTATTGTAGTCTTCATATATGAGGGTTTAATCAGGTTTAAAAAGGTAATTAGATATTGTTGTGAAGGCAGGGAATCAATTTTTTTGCTTACAACTTGCTTAAACCTGCAAGAACACCTTGTTATTAACACTTGTTCCTTATAAATAAAATTTACTCTGTATATATGTTCTGTTATTGTTTAACACTATTTTTTGATATATTGGACACTCAAGCCCTCAAGGTCGTTTGCAACTTTAATCTTATGATGGAAGATGTAATGAGGGATTGCTTTTTGATAAATTTCATTTTAGGTTATGCTAGATGATTCTGCCATTCCAATTAATCTTCGTAGTTTGTGCATTGTGGTTGTCCTAGTAGTCCATCGATCTCTATTTGATGAATTATAGTAATCTTTCCCTTATATATAAAGGTTGACGTCTAGTAATTTATACAGAACAAATCTTGCTTCTTTTTGCTGTTGATTGATATGGATTAACAAGCTGCCCTATTTGGCGAGTAACCCTTTATGTAGGTTTTATTCCTTATATCATTAATTTTTGCAGACAGCTAAGGGTGCAAAGGTGCACAATGCAGCTGTTGCTGCCACAGGAGATGGTCCACCTGTAAAAGAAGGGGAAGAGAAAGTTAAGATGCACACTCACTCTTACTGCTGTCTGGATTATGCACAGGTTGGTTTTATAGATTTTGTATAAATATATATCTAGATTCTTTTCTTATTTTTAGTTATGTAATTGACTAATTGTAAACAAAACAAAAAACAATTAGATCGATAACTAGATGGTGAATGATTCAATGTTGGAAGTTTTGCTGGCTTGACTAGATTATTCAATGTATCAATTGCTGATAAAATATTGGCTTCTATTTTTTCGGTTAGGGCCTAAACTAGTGTATATTTCAGATATATGATGTGGTAAGGTACAGACTGCACCGTTTGCGGAAAAAACTGAAAGATGAGTTGGAGGACAAGAACACAGTTCAGGAATATGTATGCCCCAACTGTGGGAAAAGGTCTCAACTGTTTCTTCTTTTTCCTGTGTGTTTCTCTGTGTGTTCCTCATTTTGATACTTGAATTATGCATGCAAGCGCAAATCTTTAGATACAACGCTTTAGATGCACTGCAACTGGTGTCTATGGAGGATGAGTACTTCCATTGTGAAAGTTGCAATGGAGAACTTGTGGCTGAGAGTGACAAGCTAGCTTCGCAAGAAGTAGTAGGAGATGGAGACGACAATGCAAGGAGGCGGCGACGTGAAAAATTAAAAGACTTGCTTCAAAAGATGGAGGTTTTTGCTCTGTCTTTTTCTTGATTTTGATATGTAATGATGCACTTTACTGTACTCGTGTATTCTGTATTCTACTGCTCTAATGGTTCTCTGAGTTGATAAATGAAATGAATGCAGGTACAGCTGAAGCCTCTAATGGACCAAATTAATAGAGTTAAAGACTTATCTCCTCCTGAATTTGGAAGTCTCCAAGCTTGGGAAGCGCGAGCAAGTGCTGCTAGACGTGCGGAGAATGGTGAGTCTAGTGCCATGGATCCCTCCAAATCTTCTCATGGGATGGGATACGGTGGAACGCCAATGCCCTTTCTTGGAGATACAAAGGTAAGTCTTGTCCCCTCCCTCCAAATATCCAATCATGTCTCTCAGCCTTGAGGTGTGTTTGCAATAACTGTTTTTTATTTGACAGTAATGACTATATGGTATTGCATCAGCTGTGAGGATTTGAAATATCTCCGTTTGCAGGTTGAAGTTGATTTCTCTGGGGTTGAAGGAAAAGGAAAGGATATTAAATCTGAAGCTGATGGTACAAGCCTGAAAGTTTTGCCACCTTGGATGATCAAGCAAGGCATGAACCTTACAAAAGAACAACGTGGAGAGGTCAAGCAGGAGCAAAAGATGGATGCCATTGGAAGTGTAGCAGCTCCAGAGTTCTCAGAAGACAAAAAATTCAGTACCGAAAATAATGAGAAAAATATACAGGTTTGTGCAATAATTTCTTGCTTTGAGACCCCCTTCAAAATAAATAAATTAATTAATTAAACTTTTGAGTTAATTGTATCTTCATTGCTTTACAGGATGAGTATTTAAAAGCATATTATGCTGCTCTAATAAAAAGACAGCAAGAAGAAGAAGCTAAGAAAGCACAGGAAACACAGATCTCTGATGGTCCCTCCGCAGTGTCTCCTAATCGTCGGGTTGGCATGAAGTCAAAGCGCGAGGATGAAGGAGAAGGTAATGTAGACTGGGAAGAGGCTCCAGTAACAGGTAAATGTTAGTATTTGGCAATCAGTGTTCAATTTCAGATTGTTCTCTAATTTGAATTGCCGTCCTCTAATTCAGTTAATTTTGACAAACAATGAGAATGGCACGTGGTCATTAAGCCAATACATGTGTTGATTTATGCTGTATGCATATTCAAGTTTTTGATTCGCAGTTCATTTCTGTATAGAAGTACAAATTTTGACAATGCATTGTGACAGATTCTTCATTGATGTGCTTGAATATTGTTGTTTGACATCTTTTCTCATACACACTACAGGTAATGCAGAAAATTATAAGGTCCATGACTTGAACGTCGAAGCTGATGCTATAGCGGACGATGAGGATGATATAGACTGGGAGGAAGGCTAAAGAACATGACCTGAACGCTGAAGCTGGTGCTATTGACGAGGCTGATTTAGTGAACGGTATGGATTTCGAGGATCTGAAAGGTCCAAAGTAATCAAAAGCAGTGCTTAGGTCCGCACCGTAGGTGCAGTTTTCCTTTTCTTGTGTATTAGGTGGAGTACTGCTGATTTTTACTTGGTCTTGGCTTCGTTTGTTACTCCTCGAGTCTTTGCTGGCAGATTTAGTGTGACAAATGCAACAGTTCACGTAATTTTCATCGACTCAGTATCCTTTGAAGGATTTGTACACTGAATTCCGATGGTTTTGCTAGGATTTAGGCCGTGGATCAGCTGTTGACGGAGAAAGGGGAATTTGAAACCTTATTCTCATGAGGCAGGCGTATTGGAACTTAACTCCCGGTACGGACCAACTATTGTAAAGTTGCTAAAAATATCATCAGAGTTGGTATAATTTAGGTAAATTAGTGGAAATTCTTGTGTTCTTAAAATTACAGAATTTGCCATCAACACCCTTATTTTCTCAATTTTTGAGATGGCCAACAACTTGTTTGAACTTTGTGCTTTCAAAGTAAAAAGGAATGGGCCAGAAACAGTGTTAAAAGTTGAGATCAAAGAGGTCAATGTCATCTAAGAAAAGTAGATGAAAAATGTTGGGCCACGTCGGCAACCCCACGTGGCTGATTGTGGTCAGAGTAGATAATAGAAGGACAAAAACTTTCTAAGCACGGCCGGTATCTCGTGTCATATAAGTATTTCTTGTGAAAATGAGTAGACCGGTTGCCATGTGGGCATACTGTCCTACTGAGGCAAAGTGGGTGAGACTAAGAAGGGCACTCCACGCTAGTATCTCCTTTGTACGAGGGTAACCTAATCAGACAAATACCAAATTTCCCCACGAAAAAGGAAGGTAAAAGGGCATGTTAATTGCTTGCCAGCCATATGGCGATCTGAATCCATGGTCTCCATGGATTTGGTCCACCCGACAAGAGGCTTTTATCTTGGAAAAAAGGCAATTCAAAGTCCATGCCCATTCCCGGAAAAGAGAGAGAGAGAGAGAGAGAGTAAAGAGCGGATATAATGCCTTTGGAGATCGTGCTTGCACACACAACCATATTGGATCTTTGTGTAACTTGCTAAATTCTATATTCGTATTGGTATTTGCTTATTCCACTCCATTTTATGCACCAAAAAAGTGCATTGACATTCAAATGTCTCGTCACAACAACAGCGCTCAAGTACTAACCAATTTGTAAATTAATAGAACTCTAATCAATTTATAAAGCAATACAACGCTAACCATATATTCCATCTTTTACCTCCGTGCAAATATTTAGTCAAATTGAAAAAATTGTCTGACCGTTTGATGATTATTTAGGTGTTTTATAATGATAAACGCGAGTAAAATTGAATTCTATTATATTAATCAGCTCGGTGTTTAAAGAAAAGTTGAGTTGTCAAATATATTTTTTGTTGCGACTTTTGTTTAGTTCAAAAGAGGATCAAATTTACAAAAACCAATGAAACAAATGAAAGAAAATATATAAAAAGAAAGAGTATCAGGAAAGCAAAGGAATTGTTTCCTCCCATGCAATTACTTAGCGTGCATTAACATAGTTATGGCATATATGTAGCTAAGCGTGTGAATATGAATTGAAAACTCGAACATGAATTGAATTCGATCCCTCGTGACAATAAGGTCAAACAAGCAAGCTACCACATGTCATGAAAATTATATATAAAATCTAAAAAATGAAAGAGTCAATCTTCCAATTTTGTTTATTTAGCATGAAACAAACATATGTGATCAATTGTGATGGTCAAATTGTTCATAGCTAGCTAGCCTAGAGTATGCTCAAAGCTAAGACCAGACTGGCTGAGTCCACAAACCCCGGCATCCCACAATGTTGTCTTTTCATAAAAAGGGAATCAGTTGGTGGTTTCGTCATCACAGTCCACCTTTATGGAGGTCGAGAAGACTCACAGATGCATTTCAGCCTCCCATTGGACACCGTTATGTAATTCACTAGCACCATCATCGAACTCAGGATGTGTCGTGTGTAATACGGGCCTCAAATTCGTCTTTTACCACTGGGCATTTTGACTATCTGTATACATGTACTATTGTAATTCAAAAACTCAATATTTTATATTTTACAAGATGAAGGCAATATCCTATACTAATATACGCAGAGGGAGATATTATCTCGAGTACTAGAGGAGGGTCACACTTGACCAACTAACCTAACTCAAATTTGCATGGATCAAAAAACTTGTAATTCAAAACCTGCAAGTAAACTCCATTGGAATCAATATGAAAACGGAATCATGAGTCGATCTCATCATGGAGTTTGTAGGTTAACTACAAAAGAAATCCTCAAATTAAGCAGATATGTTGGCTGTTGCTCTAGAGTGTTGCAACAGTAATGGGACCTAATCTCATCCCATGTATTTTTTCATCATCTTCTCGGGTCACCGCAATATATAAACCAAAGGTTTGACAATTTTCACTTTTGATGGCCCTAATTAATTGGTTCCTTGAACGCAAAGGTAGTCTCATTGGTAGAAGAATGCTCGACAATCCTGCCCCCCCCTCCCCGCATCTACTGGCCCTTTGCCTTACAAACCTCTCTCTCTCTCTCTCTCTCTCTCTCTCTCTCTCTCTCTCTCTCTCTCTCCCCCTCTTACCAGATTATCAAGCATTTCTTATGCTAGATAGCTTTGTTGGTCTACAAGTTATAGCACATTTAAGCTGTCAAGCTTCCAAAACCCTCAACCCTCTCTCTAAAACACAGAAACCCTAGCAACTTTTATTCCCACAATCTTCAGATCAAATTCTCTCTCTGTCTCTTTGTTCTCCATGCACTACTCTCTATTTTTCATCCCCTCCCTCCCCTTCCATGGCTTCCAAGCTTCTTATTCCTCACCTCTTTAGTCTCATGCTTTGGCTCTCATTGATCTTGTTATCCGTCCACGGTTGGTTTCATCTCGTTTCCAAAAATAGCAGT